GGTTTGAAAGTCTGGTATAAATAACAGAAGCAACAACCCCACCACTCTATGGGGTGATAATTTTGGTCACAAAACCTGTGCATTAAAGCTTATGTTTATTTTGCAGTAATGACATGTCTCAAGGTAAAACTAAGGGACTAGGGGACTATGGGCTCAACAATTCAATGGTCAGATGGCTGCAGGGTTGGACCCAGAGAGCACTAATAGACAGATCTGTGTCGACCTGATGGAAGGTAGGCAGTGGGGTCCCCCACTGGACCAGTGCTTTTCAACACCTTCATCAATGATTTGGATGTGGGGATGAAAAGCACACTGGCAAAGTTCACTGATGACACTAAGCTGTGGGGAAGTGTGGCCACACATCAGGGTAGGCTGACAATCCAGGTGGATTTACACAGATTAGTTAGATGGGCAGACCAGAACCAGATGCTGTTCAACACTGAGAAGTGTAAAGTGCTCCATCTGGGGAGGAAAAATCCGCAACATACTTATAGGCTTGGTAATGCTATGCTAGCACCACATCCGAAAGGGACCTGGGGGTCATAATTGACCATAAAATGAATATGAGCCACCAGTGTGATGCTACAGTTAGCAGAGCAAACAATACGCTGGCATGCATCAACCAACGCATCTCAAGCAAAACTAAGGAAGTAATTCTCCCGCTCTACTCAGAATTGATGAGGCCGCAGCTGGAGTACTGCATCCAGTTCTGGGTGCCACATTTTAAGAAGGATGTGGAGACGTTTGAGAGAGTCCAGAGTAGAGCCACTCATATGATTAGAGGTCTGAAAAGCAAGCCATACAAGGAAAGGCTGACAGATATGGGACTGTACCACCCAGAAAAGAGAAGACTTCAAGGGGATTTGGTGGCAGCTTACAAATGTATCGGTGGAGAGCATGGGGCTAGGTGAACAACTATTCACCAAAGCGCCACAGAAGCAACAGTTATAAACTCTTAGAAGAAGATTTCAGACTGGATACAAGGAAAAACTTCTTTACGGTTCGTATTACCAGACTCTGGAATAGACTTCTAGTGGGGGTGGTGCAGGCACCTACCCTGGAGATCTTCAAAAGGACACTGGACACTCACCTTCCTGGGGTTATTTGACCCCAGCAATCTTTCCTGCCTAGAGCAGGGGGGCTGGACCTGATGATCTCATGAGGTCCTTTCCAGCTCTCATACTTCTGTGAATGACTCAAAATATATTTTGACTGAAATATTATATAGCAATATATTTCCAAAGCACTGCCTTTATTTGTGTGTACATGAAAGGTAGAATTCTAGACCCTGATCCTGTAGTTGAGTGCCTATTAAAGTCAATAGGAATGGCCACCACCTACTGCAGAATCAAAGTCTGGACCAAAGGATATTTTGAACATTTAAGTTCAATCCTTTTCACACACAAATTATAATGAACCCATTAAAACTGTAAGTCCATATGTCCTATGTATTAGATGTGCACAAAGAAAGGACAATCTAAAGTCCCATTGCAAATTTGTCCCATAAAGTGTCATCAGTAGAAAAAAGGAACATTATGAACTTCTACATAATTTGGGTTCAGTGTTCATGAGGCTGACTGATGTGCTGAATTGCATCATTTTTAGGTTGTCCTGATTTTTACCAATTACATCTCAGCAACATTAAAATAAATAGTTCAGTCTTTATGAATTTCCATTCACTGCAATTACTAGATATATTTCCATAGAAACTCCATTGCAAATCTGCTTTAGTAGAGAATTCATTAATGAGACATGTTTGAAAGCATTACCCAGACAACTATTAGTGTAGCAAAAAAACCTTAATTTAAGAATATATATTATATTCTGGAAAATGCTGTGATTCTTGTATCCTGGAGACAAGGTAACTTTTTTCAGAGCCATTTCAAGGTAAAAAAATAGTTTGAAGTTTTGTTATATGCCATGATGTTACTAGTCATTCAAGGAAGCCTGTGTTTATTTTGTTGTTGGATGTACCATATTTTAGGGTTGTTCAGGATAAGGAATAGCCTGCGTATTACTATACTGTGAATTTGATGATTTTCTTCTGTAACTCAAGCCAATCTAATTCACTGATGTGAATATTTCTACTAATGGCAATATGCTGCTTATACAATAGCTTTTATTTTGACCTCTGATTCTAACACAAACAAAAAATAGATTGGAAGTATGTTAATTGTTATAATACATCATTCTAGTAGATAGAAAAAAATTGTTAATGAAAAATGTGTTTTAAGATAGGAATGAATAATAAAAATATAGTAAATAATGTTTTGCATTTTTCTCCAGATATCTCTATAAAGATCTTACTCAAAACCACAGGGGCTGGGGTGGTGTGGGCACCAAGGTGCAGTCAACAGCCCAAAGGTTGCATGTTTGAGCAGAAGTGCTCATGGCGTGGCCATATCAGATTCCAACAAATCTGTGAATTCTGCTAAATACGCTGTCACGAGGACATGAGAAGGAAGGATTCAAAACCAACTGCAGTCCCAAAGTGAATATTACAGAAAGGGCAGTAAGCATTACTGCCAATATTTTATACAAATAGGAAGACTAAGGCACAGAAGTTAAATCACTTGTTCAGGTTTACACGGTGAGGAAGTGGTTATATTGAGGAAGAGAATTCAGGTCACTGGGCTCTTGAGCCAAGTGCCAGTCCTCCTTATATGAAGGCAATCTTCACTCATAAATTCATTGGGGTGGGAGTAGTTGTGGGAGTCAGTAAACATTGCAGAATAGTCACTACTGGTATATAGGTTAGAAAAAAATTGGGATTCACTTTGATATTACCAAATGTTCCTATGTGTCCTCTCTGATAGATGTTCTGGACTTTCCTCTCCATAGTGGGTATCTGCATGCATTTACTGTGTTTACTTGAATCTAAGATGAGTCCCCATCCCCCCAGTCAGCATGGAGAAAAAAGCCCCATGTGTTAGATTCATGCACCAAATGGGATGGGGAGGGGACAGGCTTCTGCTTCCACCTGCCACTTTCCCCCAATACCGTTAGGCACAGCACAGCTCCAGCTTGAGCTGCATCCCTTCCCAGGCACATAGAGAAACTCTGCCCTCTGTCTGGCCAATCAGCAGCACTGACACTGCCACATAGCCCGGCAAGGGCTGCACTTCCATGTGCTGTGCTCTGGCAGGGAACAGGGTCAAAGCAGTCTGACAGTAAGGGGTGCAGTGGAGGAGAGGGGAACAGGCAGAGACTGCAGGGATCATTGTGGGGAAGAGGCAGAGACTGTGAGGAGAGGGAGGGAGACGTAGAGATTGTGGGGAGTGGGGGAAAGGTCAGAGGCTATGGGGAGCTGGGGGTAGGGGTGCAGGTAACGCGGGTGGGGCAGGAAGCCTGCAGAGTAAATACATGGGGGAGGGCTGAAGACAAGGGGGACACCTACCCCCCATCCCCGGTCATTGCTTTCCCTATTGTAGCAGTGGGAGGGGGATGAATTTAAGAGAACCCTCTGATAAGTAGATTCTATACCTGAAAAATTATAACAAATGTATACATTTTCTATATAAATAATCTAATTATGGGGTGGTTGTGTTAAATTCAGGGTCAACTTATATTCAAGTAAATATGGTATTCCCCTGCAGAAACAGCATATTTTTATCCCTGCAGGAGTGACTAATCAGGATCAGTGGGTTTCTTGCAACAAAAAAGGTGCGTGTGTGTGTGGCATGGAGGGGAAGCTTAGTATGATAAATATGGAAACGTTCTATGATAATTTGTTAACGTAGGCTTGGCTTGGCTTGGCTTGGGCATGGTGTTTTCTGTACAAATAACCTTGATTAAATGCTTCCCAACAGACAAGGCTCGAGGGAAGATACCTCAAGATGTTCCCTTGATTGGTTTCTATTTAAAGGCTGTTAGAAGACAACGCTTGAATAATTAGTTCTGATGATTCTAGTTCAGTGTTTGGGCAGCCTTGAGGATCGGCTTTATCAAAAAGGGCTGAAGACTGATGACACTTAAAGGAGCATCCTGGCAAATAAAGAACACTGGCAGGCAAACAAAGAGTACTTTTTTGGTATCATGCTGAAACAAATTTAGATAGAGGAACCTGAGGCAGTAGGGTCTGAAGAAGCTACATCTTTCTATTAGGGGACAATAGTAGGTTAGGTAGGATAGAAAAATATACATACTTTTTGCAGTTTTAAAATCCTTTTATCATCTAATACTTTGTTACAGCTGCTAAATAAAAACACACTGAAGAAGGATGTTGACAATGAATCACTGATCACCAGGGATCCTAGTTTTCTCTGATTTTAAATAATCCCCAATTTTCAGATTAAAAAAAGTAACCCCAAATCCACATTTTTCCATGACTAAAATGAAACATCACTATACATATATCTATATATTAGCGGCATTTCATTTTAATCATGGAAAATGTGGGTTTGAGGTTACTTTTTTAATCTGAAAATTGGGGATATTTTTAAGATCAGAGAAAACCAAGATCCCTGCTGATCGCACATCGTTAATGGAGAAAACACAAGTGGCCTAAGATACAAGCAGACCCCCAAAGCAGTAAATGATTGTTACACATAGGATAGTAAGACCAATATCCCATTCTAAGCCTAACACAGTGAACTACCTCCCTCCAATCTAAGAATGAGAGAATAGCAAGATTCTGCTCCAAAACTGGGCCAATGCCATAAGATCTGAGGAGATGCATTCAGAGAAGCCAGGAAATGGAAACGGGTGCAGATAGCTTCACTGTAGCAGTTATGGGACTTAAAAAAGTCACAGTACCCTTGAGTATTATTACAAACTCATGGCTGACTCCTTTCAGTTACCTTACTGGGCAAGGGCTCCAATTTATGCAGTGCCCCTGATTTTCTGCTACCTTATTAATTTGTGACTATATTGTCCACAGTTTTTTCCAGCCTTATTAATCTGTAGTTGATTTCTTACTGTTCTAATTTAGTTTGCTTATTCTTTTCAGTCATGTTGTAGTGTGCTCAATCAGTTGTAAGAATGTTAACAATAACATTTACCTGCATAAAGCGACCCTCAGATGTTCCCAGATTGGCAATGGTAAGATTCCCTTTGGTGAAGACAGATATTGAAGTTAACAGGATACTGTTGAACTGCCCCATGAACAAGTCGACCCGTTGCAAAGGAGTCGTAACCTCTACCCGGTATTCATCATCTCGTGTTCTGCAGTATGAGGCATTTCTTGAAAATATCTGTCATAAAATAAAGTACAGATGAGTACTGCTCCTGCAAGCAGATGACAGCTTAGAAAAGCTCTTTGTTAAAGAGAAATCATTTGGCAAGTGGATATAAAGGATCAAAAGTACTGACAGTGTTTCAAACTGTAATTGTTCCATCAGTTATCATGTTCCATGGGGAAGACAGTGATTTTTTTAGCTTTATGGAATCATTTCCCATGTAATTTATTTTGTATAACTACCCAAAACATAATGAGTTTTTCTAAAATGGTAGAAATATGCAAGCACATATACCAAGATATGATAATAAACTTAATATATTATCATTATGCTTTTCATCCAAGGGTCTCAAAATGCTTTAAATCTAGAGTTGCTAGAAATGTCTTTGCCATACACACACACACACACACATCTATATATAATGCATATATCTATATATGGGTGTGTGTATATACATACATAGATATGGAATTGTTATCACACAATCTATTTTTTTTCATTTTTGACTGTAAAAGAAAAAACATGTTTTTTTCTTCTTCTCTCTTCCTTTTATTCTTCCCTCCCTTTTTCAGTGACAAAATGAGAAGAGGAAAAAAAAAGGTACAGGAAATGTACAAGATAAAATGGAAAAAAAATCTATATTCTGATTCTGTCTAAGAAATCCAAACTATAGCATATCTATGTCAATATAATTACTTAGGGTTTGATCATACATTATTCTTTCTTATCCCTTTTTATATTTCTCATCAGTGTAGTTATAATATATGCTACATTTGCAGAATCATGAATGTATAAAAGATGGTTTTTCTCTTCCACTGGAACAATTTCTGGAACAATATACTTTAAAATAGTCTTTAGAAAAGAACAATACCATGCTTCCTGACAATTCAATAGTAATCTATTAACTGATAATTCCATTACTATTGATGCTTCATCTTCCATTTTGATGAGATAATACAGATAATAAACAGGGACCCCTTAAAGGGTCCATAACCATTTTAAAATTGGAACGCATCTAGCATGTTTCTATTGTAACATACTCTATAACTAAACATTCAGCCTATATTGCACTTTTTTTTTTTATTTAGTTTTTGTTTATTTAAAAAAATCAATTATATATTTTTTTCCTCTTAAACTTGATTTAAAGCCTTTGGATATCAATAGGGTCTTTTCATTGACTTCACTAGAATCTGAATCAGGCCTTTAAACAACAAACTGGAATGATCTTTTACTATTATATAATTATTCCAAACACTGAGGTACAAATTATTTTTATAAGGCAACTTAAAATATGAAGTAATTCCTTGTTGGTTTATTACTGATCAGTGCTAGATAAAGTCAAAGGATTTCAAAGCACTTTCCCAACCTCAGGAATTAAACCATCCAGTATTTTATTAGTAACGATAGTGTTCATGAAGAGGGCACACTGGGAACACTGGAAAACTTAGATATTTTCTTGATATTTAGATGTTGTCAGTTCTAGTGCAATCTGTAGCAGCGGCAGCTTTGGTACTGCTCAGTTAACGTGCTGCAGCTGTGACAAGTGAAACCAATCACGTTCAATGGTGAATGAGGGCAGTTTAGTGTCCATGAACCACCCTGATAAGCCACATAAACAGAGACGCTTTTTACATATTTCAAATTACGTGTGTCAAAGTTGTTTATTGTATCAGTTTTGGTGTTAACTGTTATTGTGATGTGGATACCTCAATTAAGATTCATTTCACATGGATCACCAAGCAATCATCAGAAGGTAATGTCTATATGTAACTATTACTTTGCTTTTTTCTGTAAAAAAAAATTCTTAGCATGTAATTAAAATGTTATTAGGAAATGAACTGAGCTGCTCTTCACTTCTGTCCACCAAATGGGTGCAAACTACCATATTTATCTGAATATAAGACAACCCCCAATACTTAGATTGTATATATGAAAAATAAATAAAATTGTTACTGTTTTTTAGGTGTGGAATCTCATCATGGAGTTCCAAAACTTGGAGTTTTGCCTTGATTTTGTGCCCCTCCCATTGCTATAGCAGGGAAAATAAATCTGGAGGCTGAGGTAGCCCTTTTGCCCTTTGTCTCCCACAACTTCTTCCCCCTGCAGCCCTTTCTCCCCCCTCTTCTGTCAGACCCTGCTCTCTCTGAGCACACGGTAGTGAGGGAGAAATTTGAAAACATTGACCTTGAAATAAGCATACCTGTAGTACTCACAGACTTAATTCATCCAGGACTGATGCATTTTACCTTTTCTGAAACTGCTACAAGTTTTAGCACAGGTACTTCATAAACATGCTTTTAAGCAGCAGTTTTGTACCTACTTATATATAATACAAACTATCATGATATTAGTCCAAAGCCAAAAGGCTTATGATTTACCATGTAGTTCATTGTGCTGGGCCCCAGCAGAGTCAGCAATGGTTCAAGCTATGGTGACCACACAGATCAGCACTGCTCAGTAAGTGTGTAGGCCTCCCCAAAAAGATCTATGTGCTAATTTGCCCTCCACTCATGAGTAGAATCAGGTGTTCTTGTCATGAATCCTGGAATCTTTCAAAAATGTATAACCAGATGAGGAACAGGGTAATCTGGACCAGCTCCACCACATGAATGGTGGGGCCACACTAATCATATGTGACAGCCTGAGAGAGGGGTTGACAGGGTTTCTGGGTGAACTGTTTGAGGCCCTATTTGACTATGTTTGCCAGCCATTTAAGGCTGGTGAGGAAACAGATACAATTGGAAACGGGAAGGAAAGATACAGCTCAGCTGTGGGAGTGAAGAGGAAGTCGAAAGGTATGCAGTGCAGTGGCTCACGATGACTTTAAAAGGCTAAGGGGGGCTGTACTCAATAGACACTACCCTGCATCTTAGTCAGATGGGCTGCACTAATCTATCCTTGTTGTAGGTTCCCATGAGCATATTTCCTCATGATGGGCCATGGGTATTGTTATAGTCATGTTCAGTGTTAGCTGCATTTAATCAACTTCATAGTCAATTGCCATTGCAAAGCACATGCTGCTTTTGGCAGCAGTTTATTGATAGATAATGTATTTAATTAGGTTTGCTTATATAATAAGGTAAGACAAGGTGCTTTTTACCTCTTGTTGATTTGGGAAAAAATCTTGTCTTGTATTTGAGTAAACACAGTAGCATTATTCTGTGCTTGGATTTTGGCTAGTCTAGATGTGTCTGCAAAACATCTATACAGTTGTTGCTTATACACTGAACAGCAAGAGTTCCAGCAAAATAGCATCCACAGCTCTTGTGCTTTTTTAAATGAAGCAGATCCTTTACTTGTTGCCTCTCTCAACAAGAAACCTCTTCCCTTTGATAGAGTTCCCTCAGCAACACAAGACAGGAACTTTGGTTCAGATGCATCTGCATTAAGGGCCCTCTTTGAAAATTTACCTCCTGGAGAATGAACAATAAACGTGCCTCTAATCCTGAGTTCACATGGTTTCAACTCCTTGCCATTTTTGATTGGACTTTGCCTAGACCTCTAATCAATAGTCAAATGGCCTGGGTTTTCCCCCCTGTTCATAAGTGATGGCACCTTCCTCTGGCCTCCTGAAATTAAATGTGACCTGCCTGAACTTATTCCAGATGTTCTCATTTTGAACATTTACCCAAGATCTGTACATGGCCTTCAAATGAAGCCTGGCTGCATGAGATAACCATAACATACAGTTAATTACTCTACAAACATTCTATCCTATGCACAAAACACTTGTAGTAAGGCATCTAAAGCATTATGTGATCTTACCTCTTCGTTTTATTTCTCATCAGGTAACCTACAATAAATAATTATTAACTTGATAAAGTAAAACACTACTGGATGAAGGAAATGCTGTAATTTAACCCTTAGAAGACTTGCCAACTGTCCTCTCCTATGCACACATACTTATCTAAGTATTCATTTGGCTGACGCTATGGAAAAATAACTGACTTCTGGGTTAAGCATTCACAATATTATGCCAAGTGCCAGTGACAAATCTCACAAATATTGAAATAAGCAGAGACCCTACCGGCATGCGGTTAAGCTTGGGCACGTTGCTTTTTATGCATGACTAGGAGTGCTAATTGCGTGTGTGATTCATAAAGAAAGCTGTTAACTTGATGTAGGTGTGTCATTGGAATGTGATGAGGTAGAGGCAAGTACTGAATTCTGGTTGTGCCCAGAACGGATAGTAGGTAATACATCCTATCTTATTTGCTCACAGGAGAAGTTGTGATGATTTGGAATTTATCCTGGATGCAGCAGTCTATGAAATACAAATTGGACAAGATAATTTCTGAGCTGGACCCACAGTAGTTATTTCCATTTGAGAAAACTCATACATGTGTATTAAATTAAGCTGATGTTGATTTAAACTTAGTTTCTGTGAAATTGTATTTTTAAATCCAATTTTTAAAAAAATGGATGAAAAATCAAAATAATTTTCAAAGTCCTTTTTTTTAAAAGATGCCCAATTAGACAAGTATCCAGTTTTTAAAAATTCATTATAAAAGCAATTGGGAAAGATAAAAAACTTTGTCTATCAATTTTTACAGAGCATTTTTGGTATCTGCAGAAATGGCAGCAAGGAGGAACAGTTCAGTAAGCATCCCTCCAAACCTGTCTCCAAAACTGTCAAAACTCCTGCTTCCTAATTAAGTGAGATTCTCCATTAGGAAAAGATATTACCTTTAATGTCTTGAATGAATTAGAAATTAATGACTTACTCATAACAGCCCACCTCATGCCATCCTGCAAGCAACTTGAAGGACAGGATTAGCATTCAAAAGTTCAAGAGTGGAGAAGTGGTCTGAAGTGAACAAAGTGAAATTCAATTAAGCCAAGTATAAAATACTACGCTTGTATCACAGTTGAGATATAGTGAATCCAAAGTAATGGCTAGAGCAGTGTTGCCAACAAAGGGCAGGACCAGAATCAAAGTCCAAACGGCAAGTCAGAGGTTCAGACGCAAAGAACGCCACCAGGAGTCAGGAGCCAGAGGTGAGGCTTGGTCTTAG